CCAGGTCCGGGATTGGCCATATGGGAGTGTCCAGGGCTTTAACCACCATGCCACCTGCTGGTCCCTCAACAAGTTAAGATCTTATCACTCAGTTTAATATCCTTAAATCGGGTAACATCATTTTAATATTCTGAGAAAACTTCAAAAAGTCTGTGGAAAATGGAATTAAATTACAAGTTTATTCTGGAGCCAAAAATGTTCGAACTTCATAGATACTTTTTTCAATAATACAAAATTTCCATAAACTCTTTGATGACACCTAATATAACGAGCAAACAGTATTTGCTTCTTTGGTGACTGTTACTGTGACACAAACTTGATGACAGTAGGGGCTTGCTTATGTTCAGTCTTAGGAAAGTGCTTATCAAGTCAACCAATAGTGTTATAAGCTAGTTTTTCACTTTACACTATAACATGAACATTTTCCAATGTCTTTAAGTAAGTTTTCTACAACATGATTTTTAATGAGTCCCTTGGAAATGTTACAATTCATTTACCTCCTATTACTGGACATTTCGTTGGTGTTCAAAATATCATTATTACAATTAATTTTAAGATTTATAATTCCAATTAATTCTTTGAGATAAATCTTTATGAGTAGACACACAGATCAAAGCTATATTTTTTTAATAAATGATTTTTTTTTTTTAATTTGCTATAGGGCATGTGTGTTCACTGGAGAAAGAGAGAGAAGGAAAGTGAGAAATCTCTGCCTGGAGGAGGATGGCCGTGTTGCAATCCCTTTTCCTCCATTCTCCTCTTAGGACTTCGGGCGCCTCCACACACCTGGCTTGTTTTTCAAGCTCTTAGGTTCAAGACTTAAATGGTACAGTAAGCCATGTGAAATTTAGCTGCCTTAACCACCATGCCACCAGCTGGCCCCAAATCTATTTAAAATTTTTGTTTGTACCAGCAGTCTCCAACCTTCCCCAGTCATGGAAGACAATCCCTCTACAGCCAGAAGAGGTTGGGGGTGGGGTTAGTCTTGGGATGACCCAAGCACACTACATCCACCAAACACCCCTTTCCACTAACTACACTGCAAGCAATATGCAGTGAGACAATCACATAAAAATCATTTGGCTCCTATGAGAATCCAGTACTGCTACTGATTCAACAGGAGGCAGATCCCAGGCAACGCCAAAGATGGGGAGTGGCTGCAAACACAGAAGAAGCCTCCTTGTTCTCCCACCGCCTGTTGGGTGGTCAGGAAAGGAAGATGAGGTCAGGAAGTTCAACAGCCCCAACAGGCCTGGTCCGGCCTCCAACAGGCCGTGGACTGACACTGGTCTGTAGCCCAAGGTTGGGGGAATGGCCCTGTTTTATGCCATTCAGAACAACATAATAATTTATACTCTTAGTAGCAGTGTATGAATGTACGAATTAATTTTCCTGTCTCTGTGGCACAACAGTACCTAAATTTCTATATTATATTTATCTGCATTTCTCTGATTATTAGTGAAATTAAAATTTCTTTGTGGGGACCAGCAGTTAACATAATGGCTATGTCGCTGAACTCCCATGTAGTCGACCGGAGTTCAAGTCCTGGACCCAGTGGTTTAAACTCACACCAGGCGTGTGTCCATGCATGCCCAAGATCCTGAGAGGAGAAGGGATTGTGGCATGGTCATCCCCCATGGGGGGTGATTTCTCGCTTTCTGTCTCTCTCTCTCTCTGTCTCTCTGGAGAACACACGCATCCTGTAGCAAAAACCTCTCCAAAAAAAAAAATTTCTTTGCAACGCTTTTGGGATATTTGACCCAAAACATTTCAGGCTTTGACTTTCTTGCCTTATCTGTGGAAAAGTATAAAGTCTGTTTGAAAAAGAAAGCTATTACTGGGACTAGCAGTTGGCATAATGGCTATGTCACTGGACTCCCATGTAGTCGACAGCAGTTCACGTCCCGGACCCAGTGGCTTAAAACTCATGCCAGGCGCGTGTGCGTGTGTGCCCAAGATCCCAAGAGGAGAATGGAGGAGAAGGGATTGCGGTGTGGCCATCCCTCATGAGGGGTGATTTCTCGCTTTCTGTCTCTCTCTGTCTGGCGAGCGCATATGCCCTACAGCAAAAACCTCCCCCCCCCAAAAAAAAAAAAAAAAAGTTATTAATATTTATGGTAATTTAATCCCCCCCCCAAAAAAAAAAAAAGAAAGTTATTACTATTTGATGTATATTCAAGATGTGGATAAAGTGGCACAGATAAGAAAATATTAATTGCAATGGATATAAAGCAATCACCAAGGCACTGTTAAATTTTCTTACTAGAATTTTCTTGGAAATGAAATATCAACTGTGCCCTCTTAAAGTGAGAAGAATTAAAGAAAATAAAACTTACTTCCATTGTTTGATATATTGTAAGGGAGTAAGGTTGCATCCAGCATCAGTTAAAGCTTTTTTATACTGCTCCAAGTCAGCCTGAAATAAGAAGAAAACTATATGACAACATATTTTACTTTCCTGTAAGATTGTTATGTGATTAATCAAAAGGTTAGACGAAAGGCTTGAGTTTAAATTCTTAGCACCCCAAAAAAAGTGGAATTATATTTTAAATGAATACCCACCCCCAAGTGAGCAACTGAGAACAAATCACGTATGATGAAAATTACCAGACAGGTTCCCAAGTCTCCTATAGGGGACAGTATTTTGTGTCATCTCTCAGTAAGCCCAACAAAGTTAGTTTCCATCTACTGTGAAAATAGACTGCCTTTCCTTGGGACCAACACTAAATGAACTGGTGAACAAGCATATATTAAAACCAGAAACACAAGGGGAATGACATTGACTGAAGGGAACTGCATATTCAGGTGTCCTGTTTCATACTCACCCCCTAGAGGTCCAGATTCAGGTACTGAACAAGAGATAACTTATACTTAAAAAATTTTTTTTCTCTTCCTTACCCTTTTTAATTCCAGAGCCTCTCATTATAGTGACTCCACTATACAAATTTTACAAGGCAGAAATGTATAAGCTCATTATCAACCAAATATTTTTACTACTATGCATTTTTGGGGGGTATTAACTTGACATTAGTATTCATAATTTGCTTCAAGCCTTCTAATGATGACCTAAATTTATGAAAAGGCATACTCCTTACCAAAAGCAAACCAAAATAAAATAATGTAGTCAAATTAAGGGAATACTGACTTTAAAGAAATCGCTTTTTTCTTGTGGGAATTATTTTTTGCTGTAGGGCACATGTGCTTGCCAGAGAGACAGAAAGAGAGAAATCACCCCGAAGGGGGATGGCCATGCTGCAATCTCTCTCTTCCCTTCTCTTCTCGGGATTTTGGGCTCGCAAGCATGTGCATTGTGCCCAGTGTGAGTTTCAAGCCACTGGGTCCAGGACTTGAATTGCGGTCGCCTACGTGGAAGTCCAGCAACATAATCATTATGCCAGCTGCTGGTCCAGAAAAAAATCACAAATTCTTAGGAAAATATTATAATTAGACTATTAGAATCCTCAAAGATACGTGGTTGGCAGGTGGCATGGTGGTTGGAAGCACTGAACCCCCACTCACATGGCTGACCATGGTTCAAGTCCTGGACCCACTGGCTTACTTTCTTATTTTCTTGTGTTCACATCCTCCCTCCCTCCTCTGCTCTGGTCAAATTAAAATATAACAATGATAAGTAAAATAAATACTTCTTTTAACAAAAAAAGAATACTCAAAGAGATAATTAAATTGTCATTAATAATTTTTAAAATAAAACCTTATTTTCTTACTGAATTAAAATAAAAGTGAAGAGATGTATTTTCAAAATAAAGCAGAATGGTACACATTGGGGTCAGTCTGCTGTTTTACTATGCCAGAAATTTTTTTGGGGGGGAGAGGTTTGTTTTTTTTTCTTACTATAGGGTGCGTGCGCTCGCCAGACAGAGAGAGACAGACAGAAAGCGAAAAATCACCCCCCAGCGGGGATGGCCACGCTGCAATCCCTTCTCCATTCTCCTCTCGGGATCTTGGGCATGCACGCACACGAGCCCGGCGTGAGTTTTAAGCCACCGGGTCTGGGACGGGAACCACGGTCAACTACATGGGAGTCCAGTGACATAGCCATTACGCTAACTGCTGGTCCCATATGCCAGAGTTTTGACCAACAAAAAGTCTCACAATTTACCAGGTATTTATAAAAAAAAAAAAAGGAAGAGTTTCCAATACCTGTATCAGTCTAGATGTCATCTCTGAGGTTCCTATACTTACTGCTCATCCAGTAAAACAATGCTAAATAAACATTAAAAAAGAGTCTACTCTCGGGATGTGGTGTCGCCCGCCCTATGGCAAAGAGTCTAATCTCTAACTCAGAAAAATCTGACCCCCAAATTTCTTTTTCATTACAGAACAGCCAACAAATAATATTTTCTATATTAGACATCAGTTTTAAAATAATAAAACTAACCTTTTAAAAAGCATGGCAAACCTGGTTAATAGTTTAGAATAGTTATATTTCAGAAATAAAAATTCTGGTCATTTGAATTCAGTTCATATTTCAACAACTTAAAAGTGGTCAGACAGCTCATGATTGGGTAGTTTTCCCTAGGGACAACAAATACTGCTATAAAGCTCAGCAATAAATCGAAACAGCCTTAACAAATTGTTTTTCTTTTAAAGAAAGGAATGAAGTAAATATTTGGTCACGGTGCTATTTACTTCTATTTTTGAAATTTAAACTGCAGTCAAGTTTTCTCTCTTACTCCCAATAAATGAATGGAGGACATACCTCAGAAGGTGCTTGCTGTGTGCTTATGTAATAGATAAGAAACAGCCTCATTTTATCCTCCGGAGTTCCTGCTACATAGAGAAAAAGAGATTTTAAAAAAGACTCCCATAATTGTGGTTATTACAAATTGCAGTCAGTATTGAGAAGTACACTAAGATTTAAGGCATATACAAATGTGACAAAACAAAATACAGTTCTTGAACAATTAAATTAGCATTAGAGGGTTGGATTATGGAAGCCTCTCCATTCTATCTTCCAAACTGTCTATAATGTTGCGATTTACCATTTAGACACAAATTCAGAAAGAAAAGGATATAAACAGGGTAATCATACAATTCTAAGACAGGAATACTTTCAAAATGGTAACAGCATGCTGTTGTGGTAGCAATTACATGAGAACAGCTGGTATAAGAAATGGGACTGTTCTGGGAAACCAGCTGTATGGTTACACTAGGTGCTGGCCTATGAAACTTTGCTGATTAAATACACCGTCTGGCTGAGCCTAAAGTAACAGTTCTCTGTCTCCTTTTTTGAAGGATATTATAAGGTTTTGAAAAAAATCACTTTTATATTAAAATAAACACCATTATTATATATTTGCCTCAAGTGTTAAGATAAAACATAAAATTTCAAAGTTCCTGCTTGTAGTAGCTTTGACCTCCTCCTAGTATCCAAAGTCTAAGACTGTCCAGAAGAACTAATTTATGGTCCCTTCTTTTACTAGGTACACTTTGATATAGAAGTGATAACATTGGTCTCAACAAATAACACTTACTCTCACTCCAAAGTATTACCTAAGACCCAAGAATTCAGAACTGTTTTTTTATTATAAAAAAGTAGGTTTTCTTTTCAAAACACAATGACTAATACACCATTATTTTAAAAATACGGTTTGGAATCCAGACACTCATTCTCAAATTGTCCTTATTCCATGAATATAACAAAGAATGATAAAACACAGGATAGGTTCTCAAATTCACACATAAATATACATGGAACAGTCTGAGTATTAGTTTACAAGACTCAAGGTTCTATTTAAATCCTAGGAGAAGGCTGATACCTTTCGTTTTAGTAGGGGATTAGCCTGATAGCCTCACTGATTGTATTTTCAAACCTTCAACAGTGCTACAGGGATCTGTTCCGCCACCCACTGGCCAATCTGTGAACTGGGAGTTGGTTCATCTCAGTCTCTGCAATGTGATTTAGGATCAGATTCATCGTGCGTGTGCAGTTCAGGGGTGAGCCAGGAATTCATAAACAACTTTATGGGGTTGCTTTCCTGAGCTCGTTCCTTTCTGCAATCTTGCTGGCACTTTCCCTCTCCTGTGGCTTCCCCTTCTTGGTGCTCGAGCCAGAACACTTTAATTTTAGTCTGTTCCACTGTACATTTCATGCAACTACGGCTGCAACTACGACTGCAACTACGACTAAGTAGTGGACAAAACATGAAACGAGTAATGAGACTTGCCCTGACCTCCTAAGACAGGAGAGGAAGGTCTCCCCCCCCAAACCCCAGGCACTGATTTAGCTTAAAAAGAGGAACAGTTCCCTCTCTCTTTACTCTCCTTCAAGGAGAAAAATACTATACATAGCTACAGTTTAATAAACACCCTAGAACCTCTACTAAAGTTTTAAAAAGTCACCTGGTAGTAAGAGCTGGAGAGCACCCTGATGTTTTTAATGACATAGCCAGAGGAGTCAAACTCAAACAGCAGAAATGTATCCTTTATGATGGTCATTATTCCAGAGTCCCTAGCCATAGCCTGGAACCTCTTGTCACCTTTAAGTCTGCCCTGTGACTGCTCTCTATGTGAAAGTCAGCATTCCCTCACTAAATAATTTAGGACATTAGAGAAAAGTTTTCAGGAAGAGCTTTCTTCTTCCTGAACAATTTGAGAGCAAATTAACACTGGTATATTATTACTATGTGATACATATGCAACCAACTCTTAGATCCTGTTTCAAGAATATCACTGAGAATTCTGCAAAAGTGTGTTCACTGTACTGAATCCCACTGGGTAGTATACTGTTTTATCTTAGTATGTCTCATTACTGATGATGTTCTCTGTAATTAGCTAATTGGGTATTCATCAGAAATGTCCATTATAAAGTTAATTAAGTGGTATTTTGTGGGGTGATACTTTCAAACTGTGTAAATATCCTGTAAAACTTAATTTTATTTCATTTATTATGTTTGTACAGACTCACTGCTTCCTATTTCATTCAGAGATAACCTGTTATTTTCATTATTGATTTTGTTGCTCCTATTGTCAACATCAGGAGCCTTTTCAAGTTGACTTCTTGGTCATTTTGACACATTCCATTGCATTTTGAGTTCCCTTGCTTTCTGACACAACAAAACGTTCCAGACTCATTTTGTACTTTCTCTCTCTAACCTCAGTTCTGGAATCAACAACTTCTTCATAGAGTTATAGTGGAAAATTATATTTATAAGCCAAAATCTTTACCGTGGTTTACTGCAGCTCCCAGCCCTCTCAGTTGGCAGAGCTAGAGAACAGCTATCAGTGTACACACACGTAAGCCACACAAATCTGCACTTATTTCTATATCTGATGAACACATAGTGAAAACACTAATTTCACATCCAAACCCGAATTTCAGTGCAACACTACCAGGTTAATTCTAGTCTTTTCTCTTTCTATATTTTTAAATTCCTTCTCTGACAATAGGAAACGATCTTATCTGATATATTTCGTTAAACAGTTCCCTGTATATAACAAATACCCCATCTCTGCTGCCACCCCCTTGCCTACAAGGATGTCACTTTACTTGGGCTCTGATTCTCTCTCGTGGACCTATCCACACACCAGGACATACTTCTACATCCTGTGGGCCCAGGCTGGGCTTCCCTGCTCAGGATCACCCCTCCTCATCTGTTAGGGCTCTTCACCCTTGATGAACTGCTCCCACATGCGGAAACTTTGCACACATATCTTGGCCTTTGACTCCTCATGCCAGGTTACCAACATTCCCTCTACCCCATACATGGATGTCCTTGTCATCCTGCTCAAGTTCTAACATCTTGTTCTGCGCTGAAGTGGCAGCAGACCACCACTCTTCATAAATGCCGACGTTGCTCTGCCTCATTTAATGTCTTCAGGAATAAATTGAGAAAGGAAGAAAAGAGAGAGAGCGAGCTCTGATTGCTTTTATATCAACACACTTATGTGTTTCAACTTTACTCAAAATTTATTGTAAATAACAAGGTACAGCTCAGAAGTGATGGACTTACTATAACCTTTTACATTTCTTTCATTGTAAAACATATACCTTCAAAATGCTATGTTCTCACCACAAACCTATTTTTTAAAAGTGTAAGCATACTTATAGTTCCTTAGGTGTTTTTAGAATGGCATCTTTAGTTACAAGACAATCAGGACTTTTTTTTTTCGAGAGGTTTTTGCTATAGGGCACATGTGCTCACCAGAAAGACAGAGAGACAGACAGAAAGCGAGAAATCACCCCCAGGGGGTATGGCCACAACACAATCCCTTCTCCTCCATTCTCCTCTTGGGATCTTGGGCATGCACACACACGCCCCCGGCATGAGTTTAAGCCACTGGGTCCGGGATTTGAACTGTAGTCGACTACATGGGAGTCCAGCGACACAGTCATTATGCCAAGTGCTGGTCCCGACAATCAGGACTTTCTAAAATTACTTTCCAAATTGGAATAAAGTCTAAAATTTACACCAAAACTATAACTCAAAAAACCTGGTATTTATAACCAAAAAATATGAACTCAAACAACTATGCAGCAACAACAAAAAGATCTGATAAGAAAATGGGCAAATGATCTGAATAGATGTCTCTCAAAGAAAGTCATACAAATGGCCAATAAGTATGAGTAAATGTTTAACATCACTGATCATCAGGGGGATGTGAATCTAAAACAAAAGGAGATATAATCTGATCCCAGTTAAAATGACTATTGTTAAAAGACAATAAGTGCTGACAAAGATGTGGAGAACAGGGAACTGTTTTATACTGTTGGGGAGAATGTAATAAATGTAATCTTTTTTTTTTGGAGAGATTTTCACTGTAGGGCGCGTGCGCTCGCCAGACAGACAGAGAGAGACATAGAGACAGAAAGCGAGAAATCACCTCCCAGGGGGGATGGTCACACCGCAATCCCTTCTCCTCCATTCTCCTCTCGGGATCTTGGGCACGCACGCACACGCGCCCGGCGTGAGTTTTAAGCCACCGGGTCCGGGACACGAACCGCGGTCGACTACGTGGGAGTCCAGCGACATAGCCATTACGCTAACTGCTGGTTCCCAATGTAATCATTTTTGAAAATAATAAAAAAAGATTTCTCAAAAAACTGAAATAGAGCTGCCTTGTGATCCAGCAATCCCACGACTACACATAAACGGAAAGGAAAGGAAATCAGTATATCATAGAGATATATTCACTCCAATGTCTATTTCAGCACTATTTACAATAGCCAAAATATGCAATCAATCAATCTATTCTAAAGACTGACAAGCCTCTTGGTTCAGAGAATTTTAGAGGCTAAAACCCAATGTAAAGCTCACAATTATTATAGTGTTAAAATTAGATGAACATTTTTCTAAGTACAAGTAACTATACCTTGTTTTAAGAAAAATGTGACATACAAACATTTAGGTAAATATAAAGGGATTGACAGAGTTCCTTTAAAGGTGAATTCCTGGGACCAGCAGATGGCATAAAGGTTATGTAGTTGGACTCCCATGTGATGCAAGTCCCCAGACCTGGCAGCTTAGACCTCACGCCAGATACGTGTGTGCGTGCCCAAAATCCCAAGAGGAGAATGGAGAAGGAACTGCAGCATGGTCATCCCTCCTGGAGCAGGGGTGATTTCTCGCTTTTTGTCTGTTTCTCTGGTGAGCACAAGCACTATATAACAAAAACTCTCTCTTAAAAAAAAAAAAAGAAAGAAAAGGAACCCTACACATGTAAAAAATTCAGTTTCAGATACACCTTTTTGTGAAATTTCTCAGGTGAAAACCAAAGTAATTTAGAAAGCATACCACTTAGAGACACTTGTTTTAAATGTTATACCTTCAAATCTTCTGAAACCAGCACAAACTGAGCTTCAGATTGATCATATTAAACAAATAAATGAACATAAAAAGTGCCAAAATACTATCAAACAAAAGTTCAATGAAATAAAATAGAAATTGTTCTACATTAGGAAATACTATATTGAAAAAACTTTCAACAGAAAGCACACCGATCATCAGAAAAACAGTAATTCTATTCCAATTTTATTTGAATTGAAAATATTGGGGCCAGCCATGTGGCCTACTGCTTAAGGCAGTCAGGTCCCATAGAGCCAACCAAGAGGTTTGAGTCCCAGGTTCAGTGCCCTGAAAAACAACTAGATCCATATTCACATGTGTCCAAAATCCTAACAGGATAGAGAAGTAGCGGAGAAGAGATTGCAGCATGACCATGCCCCATGTATATATGGGGGTGTTTTCTCCCTTCCCCCTATTCTGATGAGTACATGTGTTCTCTGGCAAATTAAAAAGAAAAAAAAAAAGCTGAATTTATGAGATGTGAAACTTACATTTACCTCATATTTATGCTACATACCATCAGGGTCTGATATTATATCCAGAATAGATTTATCCAGAGTAGTTTTGCTCATTATTTTTTCTTCATATTCAAAATATACATCCAGTTTTCTTGCCTATTTCAAAATAAATATTATATGAAAATACATTAACAAAAATACTTAGAAACTCTTAGCTTAGTTTCTGTGTTCTATGATTAATTTTTAAAATAAATTGTTCATTAGAATCTTAGTGTTATTTTTGATTACATAGATAATATTAAAAAAAAAAAACTACCAACAGACTATATTTACCATATGTGGCTTATAAATTCAACTAACTTTGCATGACACATAATTCTCAATTATTGCTTTAATTACTAACTAGAAAATTATACTTCACACAAACTAACATTAGATGGTCATATTATGTCCAATTTCTTAGTGTGCAAAATTCATATATTTTCACCTTAATTGGAGAGAAATTTACCCTAACTGTTTTCATTAAAAAAAACCCTTTTCCTAATTAATTTTCCTATTTCACACTTTGAAGTTCTAAAAAACAGAAAAGTAGTAAAACTTTTCTATATAACATCTTTAATAATTTAAAATTATACAAAAAAATTATAGTAGGATCCTCCAGAGTAAATAAAGGTTATCATTATCAAATATCTACTAAATCATGCTTCAGATAATACAAAAGAAAAAAAGATGTTTTGTGTTAAAGGGATTAATAATGCAAGGGGGAGTAGAAACCATTCATCACATAAATTAGTACACTTACTGAGCAATACCAACAAAGAATATATAAATATGAAACATAAATATATTACTTGTGTATGTAATTATTAAGATGACAGAATGAAATAAACAGTTCAGCAATTGAGAAGGAGGAAGTTATAAATCTGAATTTTCAAAGTGATTTCGGGACATAGTTCTTTTCAGTTAAATAGATCTTGCCAAGGCATAACAGAGCAGAGACATCAGAACAGTAGACTAAGGACTGAATTTTATACATGGGGCAACAGGAAATCAGAGTCCTCTCAAGCCCCTGCAGTGGCACACAAGGCCAATTTCAAGAAATATTTAGGCAGTTCCAAAATAAAAATGATAGGGATCAGCAAACGGCATAATGGTTACATCGCTGGACTCCCACAGGGGTAACTGCGGTTCACGTCCCAGAACCAGAGGCTTGAAACTCACACTGGGTGCATGCGCATGCGTGCCCCAAATCCAGAGAGGAGAATGGAGGAGAAGGGACTGTGGCATGGCCATCCTCTCTGGGGGAAGTGGGAGGGTGATATCTCACTTTCTGTCTGTCTGTCTCTCATAGCAAAAATCTCTCTACATACATAGAAAGGTTTACACTGAGAAGTCTCATTTCTCACCCTAGTTGTCTTTCACCCTATTTCCACCTGTTACTATATTTATTTATTCTATAGTTTTTTAGTTGTCTGTGCAATATAAGTACAGTCTATATTCTATTATCCCTCCCCTTTCTGACACAAAAGGTACTGCACTTAATTCTTCTGCCTCTTCCTTTCATTGAATAACCTATTCTACATCAACCAGTACAAGAATTTCCTGAGCAGTGTGAGCTCTGGACATTCATATTCTGACTCCCTGATATAGGAACAATTTTAGGTACTGTATAAAGCTTCTTTGAATACTAAAATAGATTAAGGTGAGGTTGTAGGAATAAGAAACTTCTAGAAATAATATTGAAAATGGAGAAAAGGAGAGTGGGAGGGAGAGGCTTAGAAAACAATATTTAACAGACACAAGAATGTAAAGTTATCTGTGAAAAAGATACATATGGTAATATTTTTTAACACACTGATTAACATGCACTCTGTGCATGCTTAGAAAATCTATTACTGTATGCTATAGAGGTGTATAATAATTAAATACAAATTCAAAAATTGGACAAAAGATAAAGAGCTACTAAGAAAAAGACTATGGAGGTGGCTGTGGGAATGGAAGAGATGATATTTAATAATTAAAACGGGAAAAGATAAAGGACATTAATTTGTGGAAGAAATCAAAGCAAATGCCTAGGGAACTAGGATGATGGTGTTAGGGAGCTAGGATGATGGTGTTAGGATCTGTTACTGTGAATATTAGACTGGGAAAGGCTGTTTTGTATAGAGTGAAGCCAGGAATGGAAGGAAAAAGGTGATAAAATAAGGTGTCAAATAAACTTTCGGGACCCTTCACAATCAAGTCCAGTCAACTTTTTCTGTTATAGCAGTATTCGCAAAGTTCAGTTCCCTATAGCCACATTGAATAAAACTCACTGAATTTTTATTAAATATCATGCATACTTTAAATCCTCCAGGCTTAGAGGCTCAAGTTATTTTCTTAGCTTTTATAGAATATATTCTTTCTCCATTTTCTGTTGAGTGAATTCTGCTCAATTTTAAAGGTCCACCTTTGTCAATTTCCTGTACCTTATTCTTTAATATATACTCTTCTCTTTCTGCCCCTCCACTCTTTTTCTTCTTGGGCAGAACTCATATATTCCCTTATCTGTGTACCAAGAGCACTGAGTAAACCCAACTATTCTCTGTTCCTCTCCACTCCACTTCTCTGTGGTACCCTGAGGTCCTTAAGTACTAGCCGTGAGCCAGTTTCTGGCTGAGTGACATTCTTACCTGGGGCAGTCATTCAGATCCCCTGAGATCATTCACTTCCTCTGCCTTAATAGTACAGTAGTTAGTGCGCTTGGATTTTTACCCTCCAGGAGTCATGACTTCCTTGCAGGGAACTTGTTTCCCTTGTCCTTAACAATAGGGAAAATATGGTCCTTTGATCCTATGGACTTTTGATCTTTTTGTTCCCATTCAACTCTTCCTTTTTTTAAAACTCTTTTATAAAAAGTTCCAGCTCATGGGAGCGGGAGAGGGCAGGATGTGAAGCCTGTGGCTGAGTATTAAGAATCAACCTCCAGGGACCAGTAGACGGTGTAATGGTTATGTCCCTAGACTCCCACATAGTTGATGACTCTTCAAGTCCTGAACTTGGCTGCTTAAAATTCACGACCAGTTAGTTCGTGTGTGTGCATGCCCAAAACCTTGCCTGAGAGGAAAGTACAGAAGGAACTGTGGCATGGCCATCCCCCGGGGCATGATTTCTTGCTTGTGTCTCTGTCTCTCTGTCTCTCCAATGAACACATGCACCCTATAACAAAAATCTCTCTCTCACACAAAAAAATAAATAAATAAATAAAGGAATCAACCTCCATAGAACATGTCTCTTGTTTTGTAAGTTACCCTCTGATATTAAACCTTTATTAAAGGGTTACAACTCCATTACGGAGTTGTCTGCTTTATTTTTGGGGGCTCTGTGCACAGTCAGATAAGCACTTTATATATATGTCTCTTCGTAATAACAATAACATTGTATTACTGTCCTTAGTTTATGAGTTATATTTCTAGAACTATAACCTCTCAGAAAATTATTTATTTATGCCTAGGAGTATAACACAGCACATGGCTCCTAACAAATGCAGTCATGAGTTGTTTCATGGCTGAGATACATTTGCAGAAATCCTTTAAGAACTTTCATCTCTGTGGGAACATCACAGAGTTCTTACACAAACCTCGATGGGATAGCTGGGTGCACACAGGCTATAGGGCATAGTCTATCATCATCTTAGTGAGCCACATGGTACACGCATCTCCTTACTGACGGAAACATTGTTACATGGCACTGAATCTATTTGAACTGACTTTCAAAGCTAAACCTGGACATATACAGACCAAGAGGTCATTTTTTAAAGTAATGAAAGTAGATGAATAAAATTCTAGAAACAAACATGTAAAGAATCTAGTCTTTAGTGATTTAATATATAAAATTAAATATACACTATATGCCATGATGAAATTAAATGTCTATACTACATAAATCAGTGAAATAACATAATGCAGACACAAGATCCATTTTGCTCTTTTTGATACGTTAATTAATTTATACTTCAACTTCCAATAAGCCGTGGAAATTGAGTGCCAAAGCAACTTAGCATGATGGGTAATAGGAATGGGGTTCTTTCAGAGGTTATGAAAATATTCTAAAGTTAGACCATGGCGAGGTTATTATAACAACTGTGAATATACTATAGACCAATGAATTATATACTTTATGTCACTTGTAATGGTATGTGAGTTATATCTCAATAAAACTGTTAAGCAAAATAACTTAGCCTTTTAAATTACTAATTATGAGAAAGCACCACCTAAAACGAGGAGGAGATATGTATAGATTTCCTAATCTGCGTAAGAGAACTAGCATCCATTTGGCATCTATCATGCACAAAGCACATTACTTACAGCTATAGCTTTCAAATGTTTTTAAACAGAGAACCTCAGGACCCTTTTTCTCAAACCAAATCTTCTGCAGAGCCCTAAACATAAAATAGATACAAGTGACCCATTAAGTGCTTGCATACAGCTCCAGGTAGCAGAGAACAGTGTTTAAAAACTTCTAACTTTCTTATCTCATTTAATTCTCCACATAATATGATGAGTTAGGAATTATTAGCCTTATTTTAGAATGAAGAAACAGATGCACAGAAACATAAATGTATTAAGGTTACCAGAGTAGAAGTAGTAGAGAGTTGAGATTCAAATCCAGGTCATACTCTGATGCATGTATGGCACAGATAAACAGTGGGGAGAATTATATTTTTCTCAAGAACAATTTATTGCTTGAGCAAAATAAGCAATACTTTTTAACTCTTGTATAAAATAAGGAACACTTTTTTAATAAAGTATTTTTATGAAAAAAAGTACATTTGTCAACTAGTACTTTTTTGGGTAATATGTGTAAGTTATGTATATATGGGAAAAGGTAATTTTGGCAATAAATCTAACATCTACAGGTCTTTTTTCCACATTCTTGAAATGAGAGAAAATACGAAGAGAGGCAACTTCTGTAATTCCAGAGATTGATTATTTTATGCAACATGGGCTCAAAAGAAAATACAATCTGGATAACAAAAGTGACTTAGAAAATAAATTAAAAATAGAAAACAAAACAGCAAACACCGTAGACAAATTTTTGATAGCTTCAACAAATACCAAGAATAAATGAATAAGTGGGGGACAGTATAGAAAACTAAAAGAACTATACATAGAGTA